GTGGTAGAGTGCTAGCCTTGAGCTGAAGAGCTGAGGGACAGCGCCCAGGACCAGAGTTTAGGCCCCAGGACCAGACCCCCCCCAAAAAAAAAAAAAGATTATTTTAACTGAGCTCTTCCAGATCTCTGCCTCCCTAATAACTGCTATTGCAAGCATGAGCCATTTCATTTTCCTGGAAGAAATCTTAAATGGCTTATTCATTATATGTAACTTTCAGATAGGGTCTAGAACACTGCCCTGTATACAGTAGGTGCTCAGTAATTACACAGCTTAACACATAGTGTGCTACACAGCTCTGAGGAACCGGGTACTACGTGGGTCTAGTTTTTACCAGGAAATATTGTCTTTGGAGAAGTATATCTATTTGCTTCCTTATAAGAACTGAGCTTAAGAGATTGCTGGTGGGTAGTGTTTCTATGTGTGCCTGTGACATGAGAGGCCCCTTTGCCAGTGAGGTTCCACCTACCGTGGAGCTTCGCTTAATCTTAGGCTAGAGGTGGGTCAGGCCTTGCTAGAAAGGAACGTGTTAATCATATTTGCCTGTCAAAGGGGTGTGGGGTTCCCTTTGCCAGTTTAGCTGAGCCCTATCAAGGTGTTAGTATCTCCATCATGTTGTGTCACTTTTTCCCTGGTCTCTACCTACAGAATTGCTTCTGCGCAGTCATTTGTTGGGCTATTTTGTTTACAACCTGCTGATTATCCCAAGTCACTTGCTATTTGCTGTTTGTTTGGCAGTGCTGGGGCTTGATCACTGAGCTCACCCCAGCCTTGCTGATTTCCTTGCTGACGAGTAGCAGCTTCATCAGAAGTGGGCAGAGGTTCAAGAGCAGACCTCACACATTTTTCACAGGCAATGGTAGTTAGATATATGGGTAGGTGGGCAGATAGAAAGACATCATTACATCACTGTTTTAATATATTACTGACTTTCTACAGCTGAGTGAGCGACATGTTTTATGAAACAAATGATGCTGAATGATGGATGTTGGTTTATATTCTAAAAAGACACAAGTTCCATTTACTGCAAGTTTACTTGGTTAGATTGACCGTTTTCTTCCATTTTTCTATTGCGCTTGCTTTGCCATCACCTAGATTTCTTGGCTCTTGCACTAGCTATGACTACTTGAAAAGGACCGTCAAGTGGTAAGACTGGCATTGGTGTGAGGCTGCTACCTGAGGTGTCCCTCCCTATGGCCCTGGGTTATGTGCACTTTCATCCTCCAGCATTGGCTCTAGAAGCCTGAAAGCAAGACACAAAATGGTAAAACTAATCCTTAGACTAGACCTTCTGCCAACCAAAGTCTCCTATGAAAACAGAGATGCCTTTGGAATAATATGTGATGGATTGTTGGTGCACATAGAGCCAGTGCAGCTTTGGCGTTCTGCAGTAAGGTTTAGGTGGCAATGTTGTAATTATGGGTCTATTTGCATTCCTTTGTTTGACTTTTGTACGTTACGTATTAGTGATTGGCAATCTGAAAAAGTAAGGATACATGGCACAACTTGATTTAAATGACTCCTTGTAACTCACTCTTGAGGTCACTAAACAGTAATAAATGAGCATAAGTCATGGGCAGAGGGGAAAGACAAAGGTGTCCAGTTTGGTCAGTGTTACTGAAGCCCAGCTCTGCGATCTGCAACTCTGCTGCTTGTGGCTGCTTTGGATCTATAATGGCCATGTTGAAAGCTGACAGAGGCTGTAAGACCTAAAAAGCCAAAAACGTTTACTTACTCAGCCCTTCACTGAAAAAGTTTGCCAACCTCTGGACTGTAGCATCAAAGGTTTTGGTGCTGTACTTATGCCAATTGCCAAGGCTCTGTCCCTCAGATTCAATATCAAAGTGGGTTCCAGGAAGATTTGTGCCATGATACCTTTTCAAAATATTTTCCAGACTTCCTTAAACTTACCAGCTATTACTGCTTTTTGTAAATGTCACAATTACATATTTAAAAGTATACCCAAAATTTCATCCACCTTTTTGGTTGCTGTTTTCTGGGTGCTTACTGACATCCTTTGAGTATCTGTGCTGTCGTGACATATACCATGTGCTAATGGATGGTGGAGTTGTTTGCATATTTTGGTAGAGTAGCTATCCATTTTTACGAGAATAAATTGTTCTATATTGTTTTTAAAAAACATAAGGATACTTGAAGGAATGAGAACTTGTTTTGTAAACGAGTGTGTTTTCAAGTGTTGGCATTTTCTTCATTTTCAACCAGGGGAAAAGCTGACACCGATGCTGATAGAACGTTTGTGGAGAAACGCTATGACCCCATGCAGGCCTCGCCACCTCCTCCCCCACTGCCCTCCCAGAACCCGCAGCCAGCTCCGCCCACCGCTGCCTCGTCCCTCCACATGCACATGCATTCCAAGGGCACTCACGGTGAAGGTACGGAGGCCACACATTGCTGTGGTCGCTATAATAAACTAATGAAATTCAGTTCTTGTGTTTTTTAAGCTAAATGTCTTTCAGGTTTAAAATACATGCTTACGATATTTAGGCCAGTAACTGTGTAAACTAAAGATTTTGTTAAAAGTGTGTCTCTTCTTAGTGGGTATGACCATTACATTGGACAAGCCTTGTAGCCAAATTTTAACTCTTTTTGTTGTTGTTGTTGTTTTTTTTAGTCAGTTGTGGGGCTTGAACTCTGGGCCTGGGCACTGTCCCTCAGCTCTTCAGTTCAAGGCCAGTGCTCTACCACTTGAGCCACAACGCCACTTCTGGTTTTCTGGTGGTTTATCAGAGATAAGAGACTCACGGACTTTCCTGCCCAGGCTCGCATTGAACCATGATCCTCAGATCTCAGCCTCCTGAGTAGTTTGGATTACAGATGTGAGCCACTGGCATCTGGCCAGATTTTAACCTTTTTTAACATAGCTTAATGTATGCCAATTTGTGAATCTTCTAGAAATAGAATTTTGTTTACTACTATGTCTAAATTTAAGCATTCAGCTAGTGCTTTGTAAAAATGGTTATATCCCATCTTCACCCATGGACATCGGAAAGCCATAGAGGTCTAGATATAGTGACTCCCAGGCAGCCTGCCTTATTTCAACAAGTTTGTTGGAACAGCTGTTACTATTGACCATAAGCTTGTATCTGGGTACATTTATCTGTTTTCCCATTGTAGGCATTTCACTAGTATGAACAGTTTTCAAGTACAGTACTTGTTACACATGGATCAAATTTTAGGATAAGTCTTGAACTATACAAGTTGTCCTCCTGAATTGACGTTTTTAATATTACACAGTTGTCCCTGAAGTTGAAGACAGTTTTCATTCTTCACCATCCTGTGAACGTATACTTCCTGTGCAAGTTTCCCATCTTTAGGAGCACCTTTAGGATGTTGACTATCACAGTTTTGTAGATGTCCTTTATCATGTTTAGGAAGTGTTTCTAGTTGGCTGGCAGCATTTTGTCAATTTTTTTTCTCATGTAACATGGTCATAGGATTTTTCTCCTTTACTTTGTTAATGTTCTACTATTGTGTTAGTATAGTGTTTAGATCAACACTTTTCTTGAACTGTCCCTATCTGGTTTGGTTTCATGGTTGTTTTCATTTCATAAAGGAGAGCTAGGACATGTTTCCAGTGCTCTATCCTCTATGAAGATAGAGGCTTTGTAAAGCATTGATATTAATGTCCCCTTAATTTTGTGGGGGTTTTCCCAGCACTGTCTCTTACTGCCTGCAGCACATGCCGCTGGAGCGTGTGTTCAAGCTCCATAAGGGTATTCTTCTTGAGGTACATTTTCACCAATACGTGGCATTTTCAAATTTCAACTTTTTGCCATCTTGATGGCGGTGGAACAATTAATACTTTGTATTTATATTTTGGGTTTGTTTTATACTTTTCTAACTCATAATGAGGTTGAGTATCTTAGTGTACAGTTGCTGGGCGTTCTAGTTTTTACTTCCATTTTCATTTTTTCTGCATTAGGCTTAGTTTTTCTTAGAAATTCCTAAGTATTCTCTAGACATGTTTTATGCTAATACCTTACTAGTTGCACATTTTATAAATATATATTTTCAGTATGTCTTGTTTTTTGCTTTGTGGTGAGTTTTTCAGTACGGAAATATTTGCTCAAGGTTTTCTTGGAGAAGCGTGTGTGACCTTACTCCATTGCCAGGACTAATTAAGAGAGACATCAGAGGTGCTGTTCAAACTTTCCAAGAAGTTTTTTAAAAAATGCTTATATGTTTGCTTTACAGGTAACTCATTGGACTTTCAGAATTCCTTAGTGTCAAAACCAGACCCTCCTCCATCTCAGAGTAAGCCCACAGCATTCAGACCACCTAACCGAGAAGACACTGCTCAGACTTTCTATCCCCCCAAAAGTTTCCCAGAGAAAGCTCCTGTCAACGGAGCTGAACAGACTCAGAAAACGGTCACCCCCGCATATAATAGGTTCACACCTAAACCATATACAAGCTCTGCTCGACCATTTGAACGCAAGTTTGAAAGTCCAAAATTCAACCACAATCTTCTGCCCAGTGAAACTGCATATAAGCCTGACTTGTCTTCAAAAACGCCTGCTTCTCCAAAAACTCTCCTAAAAGCCCACAACTCATCACAGCCTCCTGAGTTTGACAGTGGAGTTGAAACTTTTTCCATCCATGCGGATAAACCAAAATATCAAATAAATAATATCAGCGCAGTATCTAAAGCCGTTCCTGTGAGGTAAGACACCTGTTTGCCTTTGTTTATACCATTTGCCCTGTGATGTATTTATGGAAGTTTGTGGCTTATGTGATTTAGGATTTGAAGGGATCATTTGAACTCTCCCTGTGAACCTAGCACTGTTCACCCAATGAACATCGTTATGTAGAATGCACTCCACAAGGCACAAGATGCTGATAAAGTATAGTCAGTAGATGTGGTCATGATATTACCAAGAACTGAGGTTGAGCAAGAGAAAGCAGTTTCTCAGCATTACACAGGCAGGCTGCGGTGAGCTTGCTTCAGCCCCTGGTTATCTGACCCTTATAGCTCACCATGGCTGGTGAGGTATATTGAAGACAGTCTCAGAACTTTATTGTCTATGTTCCTTAGCCACTGTCTGTTCAACAAAATGCCAACAAGAAATAGAGATGGAAGGATGTCAGTTTAGCTTAAAGAACAGCAGTGGGTGGTAAGATGGACTTGCCAGCCTACCCGGGGCCTCAGTTGGATGCTCTTTTCTGTCTTCTCATTAAATACAGACTGACCAGACCATCTGGCTGCATCTGGCTCAGCTTTGCCTTCTAAAGTGACTTTTGTTATCAAACCACTGATGAGGCAGAAGCATGTTGAGTTCTTGGGAAGAACCAAGGCCCAGGAAAGCCACCCATACCCTGCTCCCAAGAGAAACAAGGGTCCTGTCCACCTGGGTTCCTGTTTCTGAGTGCCTCACAAGTGGTCAGGAGTGGTGAACCGGAAGCTCCTGCAGGTGTGCCTCCGGCAGCAGGCTCTTCTCCCTTAGGATTGCCGCAGGAGTCCATCCCTGCTGCTTGTTGGCTGGAATGCAGCTCAGCTTCACTTCGTGCCCTTGTTATGTTCTGAGTCTGTCCTTTAGAAAACCCTGACTCCAATCTGTGCTTGGGGATGTCTTGATGGCATCCATTGATAGCACATCCTATTAGGTTTAGTGTTATACTCCAACTACATTAGAGTATCTTCTCGTCTGTGGATGTTTGAGAGATAGGCCATCCACAGTCTTTAGCGTTGGGAAGTTTGGAAGTCCTGCTGTTGACAGTGTAAACATGTGGTTCTCACTGAGTGCTAAGGAACCGTAATACATGCACACTGAAATTCTAGAGGGATGTTATCAAGTCTAGGATCCCTTCCGTTACAAGAGGTCCTGTTGAGGGGGAGGGGGCCATGCTAGTCATCCGAGTCTAGGACATACTAGGGAAGCACTCAACCACTAACTTACAGCCTCAAACCCACATAATTGTTTTAAAGTTACTAACAAGGAAAAAAGTATTGCTAATCTACTGAAGTGTGATAGTTTTTTGTTGTTGTTTTTTGGTGTGTTTTTTTGGGGGGGAGTCAGTTGTGGGGGTGCTGTCCCTCAGTTCTTCAGCTCAAGGCTAGCACTCTACCACTTGAGCCACAGCGCCACTTCCGGTTTTCTGGTGTCTTATTGGAAATAAAGAGTCTCACAGATGTTCCTGCCCAGGCTGGCTTTGAAGCACAATCCTTAGATCTCAGCCTCCTGAGTAGCTAGGAGTTCAGGCGTGAGCCACCGGCACCTGATTTAAACTGTGATAGTTTTAAAGCAATAGTTTCATGGATGTTAAAATGTGCTGCGTAAATTAAAGCTCATGATAGTTGGGTGAAAGAAGTATCAGACCTTGTTCATTTAGATTACAAAGTCAGTAGCTTGACCAGTTGCCTTCACAAAAGGAGAGCTGTATACATCTAGGAAGCTCACTCATTGGCCATTTTTCAACTCTTAGTCCTTCAGCTGTAGAAGAAGATGATGAGGATGGGCACACTGTGGTGGCCACAGCCCGAGGCGTTTTTAACAGCAATGGAGGGGTGCTGAGCTCCATAGAAACTGGCGTTAGCATCATTATCCCACAAGGGGCCATTCCTGAAGGGATTGAACAGGAAATCTACTTCAAGGTCTGCCGAGACAACAGCATCCTCCCACCTTTAGATAAAGAGAAAGGTAAGTGTGTCTGTTTTTCTGCTTACCTTCAATCACTTCGAAGTCTCTGTCTCTCCTCTACCTCCATTTAGGGCCAAATGCCGTATAATCCTTCCACACAGAGGGCCTGTCTGTGGTGGAAGGATACGTGTGTTCTGGGCATATGGCAGGTGGTCCATAATGGAGCCACAGGTTTACTCAAAATGAAATCAGAAGCCATAGCAGGGACAGGCCATTGGGTGTCCCTCACACGTAACTGCTAGATAGACTCAGCTGACCTAACCACATTTGTCTTTAGTCAGCCCTTGCACCTTTAGAAATCAGTTAGAGGGCTGGGAAGGTGGCTCAGTGGTAGAGCGCTTGCCTTGCATGCATGAGGCCCTGGGTTCAATTCCTCAGCACCACATAAGCAGAAAAAGCCAAAAGTGGTGCTGTGGCTCAAGTAGTGGAGCGCTAGCCTTGAGCTGAAGAGCTGAGGGACAGCGCCCAGGCTCAGAGTGTTCTCTCTCTTTCTCTCTCACATACACACACACACACACACACACATACGCACAGAAATCGATTAGATACCTGTCACCTGACTGCAGAAAGTAAACAAGCCTTTGGGGCAGGTGCTTAACCATCCTCAGAAGTTAACACACTTAACAGTGAACAGAGTGAATTGGAATATCCTTACAGGGTAAGAATATTTCAGGATAGTCCTGAGCTTTCAGGGCGTCAGGAATGCTGTCATTTTTAGTCTTTCTAGACTATCAGGGTGCTGCAAAGATTGCCCTGTTGGAAGTTATCTTTCAGCATCTCTCAGTTGTGCTTAGCACACTGCCTTTATTTTTGCCAGAAGATTTGACTCTTAATTTGGGGTAGACACCCCATCTTAAAAACCAGAACTGACTGTGTTAGCCCTGTGTGAATCCCTTGACTTAAGTCCATAACAAACATATTAAAATGGAAGATTTATTACCTTTAGAAAGTACACTTGAGTGTATTTTATACTGTAGACTTGTATGAGAAAGTGCAGTTAGCCCCAGCTACCTTTGGCTATTTACTAATTGAAAGCTGCTAGAACAACAAAAAGATGAATTTCAAAGAGCTTATTGATTTCATGTTGAAATGATGTTTTGATTACATCAAATTAGATAAAACAAAAATGAATAACTTTTTACTTTCTATTGTATTTTTGTGTTCAGTACTATAGAAAGTGAATTCCAGTTGGCTTTAAAGCATATCATGAGAAAGGGGTGTGAGAAGTTGTGTCTTTTTTTTTTTTTAATTCTTAAATATGGTTTAATACTCTTCTCCATTTCTGTACAAAGAAGTTGTGTCTTATCTAGAAAGAAGACTCCATTTCACCTCTCTCTCCTCCCCTTCCCTGGCTCCAGGTGAGACTCTGCTGAGCCCCCTGGTGATGTGCGGGCCCCATGGCCTCAAGTTCCTGAAGCCCGTGGAGCTGCGCTTACCACACTGTGCGTCCATGACTCCTGACGGTTGGTCTTTTGCTCTAAAATCATCCGACTCCTCGTCGGGTATGCTATCTTCACTCTGTCTTCTGGGGGCTTTGGGAACTGTCGTTGATTAATGCCTACACCACCAGTCTTTACTCTGTTCTTTTGTTGGGTATCACTAGGGGCTCCAGACTCAGTTGTAACTTACTATAAATGATTATGGAGAGAAGATTGGCTATTCTTGGTCTTTAACAGAATCAGTTTCTGAAATTTCTGAAGATTGGCTATTCTTAGTATTTAACAAAATTACATGATCTTACCTAATTGTCAGGATGCAGTGAGAATTTTTACAGCCCTACATATGTGGGCATTTTTATCTTCTCACTAAAACGATTTCATTGCTTTATGTAACGTTAATTTTTGGTGACTGTTCTTTAATTTCTTCATCCAAAAAGCATTTGCACTAGAGAAACGTAATACAAAAGATCTTCCACTGGATCACCATTTCTCTGGGTAAAGCTCTAAGTGGCTTCTGTTCTGCAGTAGTTTTAAATGAATCTTCTCTCGGGGTTGAAATTCAAAGCTTCCATCTTACTCTCACATTGCTCACTTTCTTGAGTTAGTTACTGGTTGGAGCTGTCTTATCTCTGGTGCAGCCACTTATAAGAGAAACCAGAAATCAGATAAACCCCACTCACTTCCAGTTGGTGCAGGGTGAAGTCAAAGCTCCTGATAGAAATGTGCTGATAGGACTGCTGCCCCAGAGAGAGAGAGAGAGAGAGAGAGCGTGGGCGTGGGCGTGCGCACGCGTGAGAGTGTGTGTGTGTTTCCATTTCCTCATGCTCACAAGCTCCCCCCCCCCCGAAAAAAAAAAACCAGTTCATTTCAACATGCAGTATGGTAGTTGCCAGTTGAAATGAGGAATCCTAATGAAACTGTATTTAGGTGTGTATTCTGAAAGGCAGGGGTGGCGTGATACTGCCTTAAACCCTCCAGTCGCTTTTCTGCTGTCGTTACCTGCTTTACCACCTTCCACTATTAAGGGAAGTTGAGGTTATTTTCTCATTGTCATCTGTCATTAATATGTTAGACCATGTATTTTATAAATTAAAAGCAGCATACGTTTTCTGAGTTGAATTTGAGTATATTCATGCCAAATATGGATATATATTTTTATGTAATCCTGAGTGGCCGTACTATATACTATATACTACTTATATACTATAAATTTCTGTTCAGAAAGTCAGTTTAGATTTGGCACATACTGACTTAATCCCAGCATACCCAGTATGTTGGAAAGAAACCAAGTGTAAAGATGGGACACTTTTGTTTCTCTCCAGAGTTGTTCTAGTTGATTTCACTGCCTGTTACTTTGTAGTATATACAAGGCCATCTTTCTCTGTGAAATTCAGTCCCTCTTTCTAAACTACACTACTGAATCTACCCTTCAACATTACAGACTCTAGACATTGCTTTGGTGACATACAGTTTAATGGAAGCAAAAGTCTGCAGTTTTTCTTCTCAACTTAAAAATTTGGATGCCAAAAACATACAGTCATTCTAGCCATCTTCATAGTTACCCACTGTCAAGGGCTTTTAGTGCTAGCTGTAGTCTTAAAGCACTTAAAAGTCGGTTTTAAAAAAATGTCAGGAACATGTCTGTAATCTCATCTACTTAAGAGGAGGCAAAGGCAGGAGGATTTCAGCTTAGGGCCAGACCAGGGCAAAATGTGAGACTAACACTGAAAAGCAAAAGATTGGAGGCATGCCCAAGGTGGTAGAGTGCTTGCCTGTCAAGCTCAAGGCCCTGAGTTCATACTTCAGTCTCATACACACACTGTCAGGCACACACACACTCATACCTCAGACGCTCAAGGTCTCCACAGCTAGAGTGCTTTTGAAGCTCTCCACAGGCAGAATTGGGTTGGCCAGCTCTGGTGTAATCTTGCTGGTTTGGTTTGGTAAGATGGGGAAGAAGGTCTTCAGGAACAATGGTCTCCACAACTTTTGGAATTCCCTCTGATAGTTTGTAGTTAAATGTAAGACACTTGTCACAACTGAACTTAAATGTAAAGTCATGCCCAATTATTGTCCAAAGGAAAAGAAAGATGGTATTAATAATTGTATAGACTCGGGTAAACAAGGACTTTCTCAGGACTATGATTGCTCTTTTATTCATTTTTATTGAAGAGGTCTATGAACTTGATACTTTTTGATAAAAGGGACAAGGGACATCTGAAACCGCTTTCAAGTTGTTTGCTGCCAGGGAGTTTTGACATAGTGCATATTGCTAAAGAAATAGAAAGTTGCCTGGGGTTTGTACCTTCTGACGCTGTCGGAAGAGAACTTTAATGTTTCCCTCACTCCCTACCCAACAAACAAAAAGAAATACAGATACCTGTATGTGCCCCCATAACGGGGAAGCCTTAGGGCTCTCAGTTAAGCCAATTGTAAATCACAAAATTTCTTTTTTTCTCATAGGTGATCCTAAAACGTGGCAAAACAAGTGTCTTCCTGGAGATCCAAATTACCTTGTTGGCGCCAACTGTGTATCTGTCCTGATTGACCACTTTTAATTCTTAAAATATAGGAACTTGATTAAATAATGTGAAACTGGGTTGAACTTACTAAATCTAAATGGAACCACTCTATTAAGTATTATACTTTCCTTAGGATTGATACTACATTTTGTTAGTATTAAGCATTTGTTGGAACTGATGAAGATTAGTAAGTGAGCCCTGAACCACGGTCAGAAAATGTGCTACAAATGGCACGTTGGTGGTGGAGGAGCTGTTGGTATTGGCTAGAGGTTCAAAGATACTTTACTTTGTAATGGCTTTTGTACTTTTTTATGGTCACTGCTTAACTTTACATACTGATTTCCGTTAAAATGCCAGCCAGTAAAGAGGAGTGCATTCGGGTTCTGTCCTTTCCAAAGTACACGGTTTCAAGCTGTATTATGACCCTGACCTTGCATACACATTTTACTGTGGTATGCATGAGATCATATGCACATGTTTTTTAAATGCACCTGGAATATACAACCACTGTAGATGATTTAGCCGACATGTACAGCCGGGGAATTTGTAACTTTGGGGGAATCAAATGAAGATAATTACTTAATGTGTATGAAGACACATTTCTCTTAGGGAAGGACACCAAAGCATGTGAGACTGGTTCCATAAACTAACCACATCACCGCAGACACTACGCAGCAGGAATGCCTTACCCTCCTCTTCTTACTTCTTAGATCATTCTTGCTATGTATTACCAAGTTTTGATGGCTTTGTGCATATCTAGATACTGTATCATGAAAACAATTGAGTGGATTGTGGACTTGGTGGCTGTGGAAATGTGTGATCACCCAGAAGAAAATAATGGTGTGATTTGAAGGGGGGGGTGGGCTTTTTTCTTTCTTTCCTCCTGTCTTCCTTTCTCCCTCTCTCTCTCTCTCTCTCTCTCTCTCTTTTTTTTTTTAGGGGCAGTGGCTTTCTTTTAGGCTATGCATTTGAAAATTTCAATGTTTTAAGGATGCTTGTACATAATGCGTGCATACCACTTTTGTTCTTGGTTTGTAAATTAACTTTTATAAACTTTACCTTTTTTATACATAAAACCAACTTTCTAAAGGCTACCTTTGTATTTCTCCTGTACCTCTTGAGCCTTGAACTTTGACCTCTGCAGCAATAAAGCAGCATTTCTATGACGCACGTCATTTTTTTAAGAAAAAAGAATGCACAGAGTTGTTACATTTTTAAGTGCTGCATTTAAAAGAGACAGTTACTCAGAATTCTCTAGTTTGATTAAATTCTTGCAAAGTATCCCTACTGTAATTTGTGATACAATGCTGTGCCCTAAAGTGTATTTTTTTACTAATAGACAATTTATTATGGCACATCAGCACGATTTCTGTTTAGATAATACACCACTACATTCTGTTAATCATTAGGTGTGACTGAATTTTCTTTTGCGGTTATTAAAAAAATCTCAAATTTCTAAATCTGCAGAATAAAACTTTTTAAAATAATGCACTGGTTTGGTCTGTTTGCCCATTGTTTCTGGTTTCATGCAACTCTGTCATCCTGCATCAGAACCCTCCATGCTAGTCAGCACTTGCAGTGTCTTCCCCACAGACCACGCCTGCTGCTGAGGAAGGGGAGGGGTGGGTCAGGGCCAGTCAGAGTAAATCCGAAAGTAGGCAGAGCAGCAGGCTTATATTCTTTGTCCTTTGGGCATAATTAAGTGTAAAGCATGTCATGTCTGTTCATTTGGACCAGTTAGTAGATGCACTTCCATTCCCCGCAAACAGCATGGGCATTTTAATGTGGTCACTGCACTTGGAGAAGTGGGTATTCTAGCTACAAATACTCCATTAAGGAGAGTATGTAGCCCTACTCTTGTGACATATACTTGGTGTAATATTTTAGTAGACATCTCTATGGATTTGCTTTCCTTTTGAATGGTAAGGCACAGTCAGAGTTGTCTATGTTGGTATGCACAGTCATGAATGTCACCACTGTCAGTATGTAGAGCCTTTGGTCACCCCTTCCTCCTCCTCTCCTCTTCAGGAGCTCCTTGTACCTATTTAAACTCAGTCCATCCACCAGCCCTGTGTGATCTGTTTTCTGTCCTGGTACTTTGGTATTTCTGAGTGTGCCGTATACAAGGAAGACTAGCTTTGGAGTCTGGCATCTGGGCATGGTGAAATAAAGCGTGTGGTGTTACAGATGTTTATTACGAGTAGTGTTCTGATATGTGTTTACACCAGGCTTGTTTATCCATTCCCTGGGTGGGGAGTTATGGGGTTGTTGGGTAGAAACAGCAATTGCATACAGGTTGGTGTACCTAACTCTCCATTTCACTTGGCTAGGAGTAGCGTTGCTGGTTCTCCCTGTCCTTAGCATTGGCAAAGGTTCTGTGGCCCCATACCTCAGCAGCAGTTGCCATAATAGTGCTTCTGCTGGTCTTCCTGACTTGGGACTTGACAACCCATATGTAGGAGCTTTCCATTTGTGCACCCCTGGCGTGGCCTTCCGATAAAGTGCCTTCAGATCCTTCCTGTTTTCAAAAATGGACTTGTTTGCCAGGCTCATCACGTATTAATTCTAGCTGCTCAAGGAGGCTGAGATCTGAGGACCCTGGCTCAAAGCTAGCCTGGGGAAAACACATCTGAGAGATTCAGTTAACCATCAAAAAGCCAGAACTGGAGGCATGGCCCAAGTGGTAAAGCATCAGCTATGAGTGAAAAGATCAAGTGAGAAGTTGGATACCAGTGGCTGAAGTCTGTAATCCTAGCTACTCTGGAGGCTGAGATCTGAAGATCCAGGTTTGAAGTCAGCTTGAGCAGAAACATTTGTGAGAGACTATCTCCAGTTAACCAGCAAAAAGCTAGAAGTGGAGAGTTGGCTCAAGTGGTAGAATTGCCAGCCTTAAGTGAAAAAGCCAGGTAAGAAGTCTTGAGTTCAGACCCAGTACTGACAGGCATGCACACACACACACACACACATACACACATGAGGCAGTTTTGAGAATTCTTCATACATTCTGGGTACATATTATCTTAAGTGAAGGTCTTTTTGGTTTTTTTTTGGGGGGGAGCGTTTTCTTAAGTGTTTATTTTTGCAGTACTGGGGTGTACCCATGCCCCAGGCTTTACTGCTTTGGTTATTTTTCAGAGCTGGCTTCTAATCCTTCTGTGCCTAACTGTCGCCCAGCTAGGATAATGGATGTGTACCACCAGCTTACTTTGTCATGAGCAAGTCTTGCCAACTTGTCTGCACAGTCTGACCTTGAACCATGGTTCTCCAGATCTCTCTGCCTCCTGCTCAGTTGGGATTACACGCCTGAGCCACCACACCTGGCCTTTTCATTGTGTCTTTCAAAGAGTGGGAATTACAAACTCAAAGATTCGAGACTTTATTGGCTTGTTCTTTCGAAGGAAATGTATTTGATATATGTAAAAGAAAGTTTGGCCCACCCCAGGCCACTGATTGTTCTCCTGAGTTTTCTCTTGGAAATTTTTTTAGCTTTCCCATATGTGTGTGTTACCTGTTTTAAACTCGTCTTCCATAAAGGATGAGTTACGTGTTGAGTGTTACTCAGGTGCCGTCCGCCGCCGGGACTGTACCAGCCATTTCCTCCCGTGGTCACCTGGCATTCATCAGAGCGGCTCCAGCCAGCAGGGCCCAGACCCCGGGAACAGGAAGACCAGCTTGCAAGTCTGCCTGCCTCCTGAGGAAAAGCTGTGATTTTGCTTGAAAGTTTGAGGCCGTGACCGGCTGGGTCAGGATTCCACAAGAGCAAAGCCAGAAATACACCAGTGCCTTGGGATGTACTTGTTGCCTTGACAACTTGCAGAGATCCAGCCACCGCCCTCACTGCACCACAGGCTCCCAGATGGCTGCCTCTCCTCCCCGGGGGCAATCGACTGCACCAGTTTTTCCTAAATCACCTCAATTAGAACTTGGAGGAAGCCTGCAGTAACATTTGTCTGAGGACAGAAGATGTTTGGATCCTTGGTCGTGCTCCTGGCTCTAGTGTTGGGTTTTGTCTGGTTTGGATTCTTTTTTGTTTGTTTGTTTTGGTGCTAGTAGTCGGGCTTGACTTCAGCTTGGGTGTCCTACCTTAGCTTTTTCCCTCAGGGCTGGTGCTCAACCACTTAAGCCACACAGCTCCACTTCTGGCTTTTTGTTAATTACTTAAAGGTAAGAGTCTCACAGGCTGGGTGCTGGTGGTTCAGGTGTGTAATCCTAGCTACTCAGAAGGCTGAGATCTGTGGCTCGTGGTTCAAATCCAGCCCAGGCAGCAAAGTGTGAGACTCTCTTATGTCCAATAAACTACTCAGTAAAAGCAGAAGTAGAGGTGTAGAGGGCTAGCCTTGAGCACAGCTCAGGGACCAGAGCCCAGACCCTGAGTTCAAGCCCCAGGACCAGCAAAAAGATGAGAGACTTTCTTGCCTGGGTTGGCTTCAAACTGAGATCCTAGCCTTCTGAGTGGCTAGGATAACAAGGTGTGAGCCACTGGCACCTGGCTTTTCAGTTGCTGCTTACACTGTCATTTATACAGAGTTGGGCACTGACAGAGCAGCTTCTGCCAGGGTGGGGTGACTGCCAGCATTCCTCGTCTCAAGCTCTCCCCTTCGTGTGCCACAGGCCCAGCCCAGGAAGAGCTCCTACCCTCCCCACTGTCCCCTAAAAGCAAGAAGTGCAGGCAGCCTTGATTTCCCACCCCACTGAACCTGCCGACCCACCACGTTCCCAGAAATGCCAACCAGCTTCGAGAAAGGCCCCTCCCAGCAAAACACCCCTGCAGGGAAGTTCCCCTCCCGAGCTGGCTCCACCTCCAGGGCCAGCTCTTCCTGCCAATCCTGCCAAATAGAAACTCACCTGGGGAAATGGGCAGCCGAGTGCCAACAGCTCTGCCTACTGCGAGCCACACCTGCCAGGCTCTGATGGGGGGGCCCCTCTGCCAGCTGGTGCGGGCGCCTTTCCACCCAAAGCAGCTGCTCTCCCCAAAGGAAGTTGGAGGCCACACCCTGCAGCTGCCAGGCCTTGAGCAGTAAATGCACCAAATCATTTGGGGAAGGCATTGGGCGCCAGCCGGGCTTTGTGCAAATGACTGACACAGATACACCCCAAAGGAAAGCTAAGGCCCCATGGCTGTGGGCACAGGCTGCCAGGCAGCCTGCCACATAAAGACATGGCTGTCCAGTTAGCCACACATTGACCAAAACCCTACACTGGCCTCTTCCTGTCGTCCAGCCTCTGCCAAGAGTGCGGAGAATCCCTTACAGCTTCACAGAGCCGGAACTTGCAGGTCGGGGCGTTGTGGGCCTGAGCCCGCAAGGGCACTTGAGTGTGTCTTTGTTACACACGCAGACATGCCCATTTCCCCAGTGCCAGCTTGTGCCTTGATCCAAATCTCAGACAAGACCCCACATTGCATGCCCGGGTGTGTCATTTTGGAGTGACCTGGAGGTCATTTTTAAAAACTTCTTTATAAAAGTTTGAGCCAGCACCGGTGGCTCATGCCTGTCATCCTAGCTACTCAGGAGGCAGAGATCTAAGGATCGTGGTTCAAAGCCAGCCCCAGCAGGAAAGTCCCTGAGACTTATCCCCAATAAACCACCAGAAGTGGCGTTGTAGCTCAAGTGGTAGAGCACTCGCCTTGAGCTGAAGAGCTGAGGACAGCACCCAGGCCCAGAGTTCAAGTCCCACAACCAACAACAGCAACCATAAAGTTTGAGAAGCGTCTGCGTTCTTCTCCCTGACCCTTTCTCCAGCTTGCCCTCATCCTCACCTCTGCTCCCTTTCCCAGCTCAAATGGTGCTTGGCCATTTGAGCCACGCCTCCCACTTCCTGATTTTTTTTGTCCTGATTAATTGGAGATAGTCTCACAGACTTTTTCTGCCTGGCTGGCTTCAAAGCACCTTCCTTCTATCTTAGTCATGACTGATGTTCAAAGAACAAAATGGATGAGAACAAGAGGCAGCCGCCACCACCTTAGGCCATCTAGGGCAGGAGGAGAGAGCGGGCCTGGCCAGCCCCGCCCTGCTACCCCTGCCCGGCTGCAGCTCCCTGCCATCACGTCTGTTCCTCTTTGCCTGCACCATCATTCTTGTCACCTTACTGCAGTTTGAATTTCACGACCATTCTGCATTCTATGCTAAAACCACTCATCTTCCTGGGGGCGGGATGATGAATGCTGTGCAGCTGGCAGAGGCCCCGGCTCCTGAGCCTGCAGCTAGCAAAAAAGAAAAGCCAAACGTCATCCCCCCCCCCCCGCTCAGCCGTTCTAGAGCACTGGAAGAGTGGCTCAGGAAAGGGAACCCCAAAGTGAGCCTCAAAAGCAGCATCTCTGCCCTTGTGTCTTTCACCCCTTGCTCTCCATGGAAGCTAGAATTCCTCTTTGCCAAGGCTGATTACAGAAATGAGAAGCCCTGTCCACAAAGCCAGCCAGAAAGCCTAACGTAAAAATAGCACCCTGAATCCCCATGGAGAAATTCCCTGACCTGTCTTGCTGGATTATGGGTCTCAGGACTTCCATTCTAGAAGGGTCCTGCCCTGAGAGGCCAAGACACCTGGCTTTCTATCCTTTTTTTTTCTTTTTTCTTTTGGTCGGTAGTGGGGCTTGAACTCAGGGTCTGAGCACTGTCTGAGCTTTTTTTGCTCAAGGCTAAGTTCTGCCACTTTGAGCCACAGTACCATTTCTAGTTTTCTGGTGGCGAACTGCACTTAAAAGAGTCTCATGGACTTCACTGCCCAGTTTGTCTGGCTTTGAACTGCGATCCTCAGATCTCAGCCTTCTGAGTAGCTAGGATTACAGGCATGAGCCACCGGCGCCTAGCTTCTTTCCTCCTTTTACAAAGCCTCCCTAGGTATCTGTGGCTGGACTCTAAATTCAGGACTTCCTGTCTCCACCTCCAGCATGATAGGATTACAGGCATGTGCCACCTACTCTCTCCTATATTTTCTCCTTATCTTGTGTTCTGCTTCCATAGGCTTCCTGAGGAGACAAACCGGGACCCATGGTAAGTAGGGGGATAATCCTTCACACCAACCCCAAAGCTGCAGCCCACCCAAGCCCTTCCACCTGGCAAATAGGGTCATGGTAAGCATGATAACCTTGCTTTGTTGAGACACAGGGAACTGTACAAAGTGTTAAGCATTGTTTTCAGGTTCGGGGCTAGAGCACTTGTCTAGCTCCATCTGAACCACAAACCAACTCGGCTCTGA